CCCCAAAACCCCAAAACCCCAAAACCCCAAAACCCCTTTTACTCGACATTTTGCCATATAAGAGATTTTAGGTAAAATCTTATTAGTATTTTAAAAGATTTTTTCAAAATGGAAGCAGGATCTGCACTAAAAAGTTTTGTTGAGTATACCTCAGAGCATCATTTCCCATTGGAAAATATTCCTTTCGGTACCTTCAAGAACCCAGAGACCAATGAGACACACTGCTGTACAAGAATTGGAGATTTCGTCATTGATCTGGCAGTACTCCATGATTTAGGACATTTCTCAGGAGATCATCTCAAGGGTGAAAATGTCTTCAACCACGAATTCCTCAACACTTTCATGGCTGCTGGAAGACCAGCCTGGACCGAAGCTAGAGTCACAATCCAGAACTTGTTCGCAGAAGGATCATCATTTGCGAGTGACGAAGATGGCAAGAGCAAGACTATGTTTGCTTTTGATAAGGTTGAAATGACTCTCCCAGTTAATATCAAGGACTACACTGATTTCTACTCATCCAAGCATCATGCTTACAATGTAGGATGTATGATTAGAGGACCAGATAATGCTCTTCAACCAAACTATACCTACTTGCCAGTTGGATATCATGGAAGATCATCTTCAATTGTGCTCAGCGGTACTGATGTTAGAAGACCAAAGGGACAAGTCTCAGCAGACAAGAAGGTCCCAACTTGGAGTGACTGTAAGAGACTCGACTTCGAACTCGAAATGGGAGCATACGTTGGAGTAGGAAATGAACTTGGCAAACCAATCAAGATCTCTAACTCTTCTGACCATATTTTCGGACTTAGCTTGCTGAATGATTGGAGTGCTAGAGATATCCAAGTTTGGGAATACGTTCCTCTTGGACCATTCAATGCAAAGAACTTCGCTTCTACTGTTTCACCATGGATCATCACTCTTGAGGCTTTGGAGCCATTTAAGATTGCTCATCAAGAGCAGGACCCTGAACCATTGCCATATCTTAAGGAAGAGAATCCTTCAACTTATAATATTGACTTGCATGTAGGAATCCAATCAGAGAGTATGGATGCTCCACACGAAGTTTGCAAGAGTAACTTTAAGCATTTGTATTGGAACGTCAACCAACAATTGACTCATCATGCTGTCACAGGCTGCAACATGAGCACTGGAGATTTCCTTGGCTCAGGAACCATCAGTGGTCCTGAAAAATCAGAGAGGGGATGACTCCTTGAGCTCTCTTGGGCAGGAAAAGAGAAAATCTCCCTTGGAAACGACGAAGAGAGAGTATTCCTCAAGGATGGAGACTCTGTCAATATGACTGGAGTCTGTCACGGAGAAGGCTACACAATCGGATTCGGAGACTGTGTCGGAAAGGTCCTTCCTGCTCTTGATGATAAGGATTACTTCTAGTCAATAAGAATAGTCCGAAATGGGGTTTTGGGGTTTTGGGGTTTTGGGGTTTTGGGG